TGCAGAAATGGGGAGTATTTCTTATTCAACCCTTACTCCCCAAATCTTGCATAGTGCATTGAACATGGTAGCATGTTCAATTAAGTATTAACTGAATGTTTTATATTGAACCACATAAAGTTGCCTTTCTCATAAGTCAAAAATGCTCAAATAATGGCAATTTCATGTTGTTAAACTTAGTGGGTGGATAGATGAATGGACGGATGACTGGATGAATGAATGGACAGATAGACGATGGATGGATGAATTGTAATGCCTTTTACAACTATCAGTTCTATTCCATATAACTAATGATTTAAGCATCGGAATTCTGTGACCTCTTAAAGATGATGGAGAAAATTCTGACTTCTGCTCTCAACTAGGTTATTTCTTCCATTTGTTTATGACTATTATTTAGCCAATTACTAAATGGCAGTGTCAATCCTTTTCATCCATATATGCATTCAACTTTTTTATAAGACTGCAATCTCCCTGTCATGAGTAGATGGATCATTTTCATTTTTCAATTATTTGAGCTTCAGTTTAGGACTTTGGTTAATGATTTTGCAAGACATTGATTAGAGAGGTCTTTTTCTTTCCTGATTAAAAGCATGTATGATATCTTCTCTCCAGCTCTCTTTTATTTGTATCTAGTAATTGTGGATCTAAATATATGACTCCAGTGATCTGTCACATACTATATTATGTGAATTTTTCAGGAACAAAATCTTTTTTATTTTTTTAAAAAATCATTTCAGAAGGTTGTCATTAATCAGACTAAGGATTTTGGAAGTAAGACTTAAGTAAAATGAATTGTTTTCAATTAAACACTAATAGCAAATCACTGCTGCCAATTCCTATTCAATATTCCTCCTATTATAATGTCTTTGTATAATATCTAGAGAAGAGTTGCCACGTAAATTATCTCTAAAGGTTTGTCCTTAGGGCTTGGTCTCTAAATACTACAAAAGTTGGTAGTTTAGTATGGTGGGTAAAAATGCAAGGTTGGCTGTCCTGAGTTCTCCTTCCTTCTAGTTCTCTTTCTTATAAATTCCGTTGCCTCAGGCATGTTACCTTCCCTTTTGGAGTCTCAGTTACCTCCTCTGTAAAATGGAGCTATAGACTGAATGTTTGTGTCCCCTTCGCAAATACAT